AGAAGAGACAACTGAGGGGGGACATGATAGGGATTTAATAAAATTATGCATGGAGTGGAGAGTTGACAAAGAGAGTTTTTTCCCCTTCTCCCAAAAGACTAGAACCTCCACATCCAGAGGCACTAAGCCTATGAATCCCACAGTCAGTAGGCAACTTCAGGGGAAGGCTTCGGCCTCTATGCCCTGTTGCTGGCCCTCCAGAGGACCTGGTTGGCCCCTGTGTGAGACGGGAGGCTGGACTAGAGGGACCCTCCCTGGTCTGATCCAGCAGGGCTCTTCTGGTGTTCTTATCAGGGGAAGGCCTCAGCCTATCTGCCCTGTTGTTGGCCCTCCAGAGGACCTGGTTGGCCCCTGTGTGAGACAGGAAGCTGGACTAGATGGACCTTCACTGGTCTGATCCAGCAGGGCTCTTATGTTCTTATGAAGGCCTCGGTCTCTCTGCCCTGTTGTTGGCCCTCCAGAAGAACTGGCTGGCCACTGTGTGAGACGGGAGGCTGGACCAGGTGAGCCACCGGTCTGATCCAGCAAGGCTCTTACGACGTTATTGGGTGACCTTGGCACAGTCACGCACTCAGCCTAGCTGGCCTCATGGGGTGGTCATGAGAATCAAAGGGAGGAGAGGAGAATCACATACAGTAGTTGCACTCCTGAAGATCACTGCATATAGAAAACTGTGCGGTGGCAGCACAACCATCCCATAGGAAAGAGGTGCCTCTTTGTTAGCTGCCCTGAACCTTCGGGGAGGGTGGGATATAAATCCAAAAAATAAAAATAATTTTTTTAAAAAAGTTTTCTGACCCCCTGGTACGGCTGGTGCTGTTCGCTCCGGTGATTGTGTTGTCCCCAGAACTTGAGGGACCTCTATTCCTACTGGTATCTGACGAAGGGAGCCCTGGCTGTCGAAACTATATCCTAAAACTCTTGTCGGCCTCTGCGGTGCTACTACTGGGCTCTTCAGCTGTTAAGAACATAAGAGAAGCCAATTGTTGGATCAGGCCCAAGGCCCATCCAGTGCAACACTCTATATCACACAGTGGCCAAAAATACCAGGCGCCATCAGGAGGTCCAGCAGTGGGGCCAGGACACTAGAAGCCCTCCCACTGCTGCCCCCCCCTCCAAGCACCAAGAATATAGAGCATCCCTTGCCCCAGCCTGAGAGTTCCTCTCTATACCTTGTGGCTCATAGCCACTGATGGACCTCTGCTACAGATGTTTATCAAATTCCCTCTTGAAGCTGTCCGTGCTTGTAGCCGCCGCCACCTCCTGTGGCAGGGAATCCCATGTTCTGCTACAGCCCAAAAGGGCTGCCTTCTGAGACTTACTCGAACGGCTGGCTTAGGGGCTGCCTCTGTTTCTCCTGTCCATGTATCATAGTGCTGGTCTCAGTCATGGCGCAAGAAAACAACAGAAGTCTTAAATCAGCTTCCCGAAAGGGCATGAAGTTGCCGTTGTCATAAACCCACCCTGGGTCTCTCTGTGCTTCCACGCATGTCGTGTGTTTGTGCGCACGTGAAGCATGTTTCTCTTCTTCATCCTACCACCCCAAGTTAAAAATCCAGTCTCCCGCATGGCCAGTGTCTTGGGGGACACTAGTAAAGGCTGCCTCTGAACCAGTACAAAGGGCAGTTTCCCAGTTTCTTCAGCTCCTCTTCTGCGTTTGCATGTTTAAGAGTGAGCGAATCACAGTCTGCTGTCTTAAACAGGAAAACTTTATTGCTCACAGAGTAAGCTAGAGCTTTATACTGAATCAGACCACTGGCCCATCAAAGTCAGTACTGTCTATTCAGAGCAGCCGTGGCTTTCCGGGGTCTTTCCCATCACCTACTGCCTGGTCCTCTTAACCGGAGATGCCGGGGGTTGAACCTGGGACCTTCTGCATGCCAAGCAGACGCTCTGCCACTGAGCCACGGCCCCTCCCTGTAGGAGGCTCAGGAAAAGAAACCCCCACACACACACCGCTGGAGAATGATAACCAGGCTCCATCCTCCCGTGGCCCACGTGCAAGTATTTACCTGCCCTCTCTCGAGAAGGCGATTCAACACAAACACTGGATTTAAATCCAAGAGGAAGCCTCACCTCTTCCTTATAAATGAAAGCACTGAAGAAGGAAATGTTAACAAAACAGCTCTCCGGTGCAGATAAACACGGTGACAAGCCAAACGTTTCATGGGAAGATGAATGTCCACAATGCCCCACTGTTGCAACCTTGCTGTCTGTGAACACAGTGCGGAACTGTGTACACGGCCATGCTGCCGGAGCCCTCATCTTTCCTTTTTAAGGCGTTTTAGTGCAAAAGTTGCAAATGCCGTAGGGCAGGGGAAGGTCCCCTTGCAGGCATCCTGTGAGACCCAACTGGTTTAGAGAAACCGGCATGAGTGTGTATCAGCGGCCGCTCACATCACCGATGCTTCGAGCTCTCTCATCTGCACACCAGAAGCAACACAGAGACCTAACACAAAATCAGATGGCGTGCAAGTCTGGTTCTGAAGTTGCACTCTCCCACACAACCCTGTCCCCCTTTTACACGCTGATCACATACCTTCTGTTTAACCAACGTGGTCTCTATGCACAAGCTTGTCCCTGAATTTTAGTTTCTCGGAATGGTGATATGTTTTTTTTATACACTACGAAAGATCCCCTTTTCTTTCTCTTTTCTGGGCATCGTTTATGTATCAGGCTGATCTTCACGTGTTTTATCAGCCTATACCAGGGGTGTCGAACTCATTTGTTAGGAGGGCCGGATCTGACATAAATGAGACCCTGTTGGGCCGGGCCGTGTATGTCATAAAAGGTAACGCCAGGTAGCGAAGAGATAAACTTTATGAACAACACAAACACAAAGGGTTTTTTAAAAACTTAAAATAACAACAATGCTTAAAACATCAACAGTTTTGCACTATTTTGTTTATCTAACAGTGTCTGATAAACAACAACAATGCTTAAAACATCAACAGTCTTGCACTATTTTGCTTATCTAACAGTGTCTGATAACTGACACCTCTTGCTCTGAATTATTGCATCAAAATGTCTGTGCTGTTGCAATCTTGAGTATGCTGTTCAGGTGTGTATCTGTAAGCTGCAAACCTACGATGATGCAGCAGCAGCAGAACTGGAAGAAGCAGCAGAAGACAGCCAGTTCCACTGTGGGCCTGATAGAAGCCCTCCAGGGGCCTGATCTTGTCCCCGGGCCGCATGTTTGACAACCCTGGCCTATACCCTTGTACTAGTATCGGTTAATTGTCACTTACACTATTTGCTTATCTGTTTGAACCTGCGGCCTCACTCACCAGCCAGTACATGCAACCGCTAATTCTTCCCTCCAGGGTTGCCAACAAGTCTGGAGAAAAAAATGTCCTGTTCCATTACGAGCGCTTTCATGTGGGGAAACAGGCAAATGAAGCTTTTCGTGGCTTGGAGAGAAATAATAGTATCACAGAGTTGGAAGGGACCACCAGGGTCATCTAGTACAACCCCTGCACAATGCAGGAAATTCACAAATACCTCTCCCCCCCACGCCCCCAGTGACCACCTGGTATTTGCTGCAGAACAAACTGATGTTAAGGGGGCAGATCGAGGGACCAGTTCAGGAGCTGGCGACCCTAGACTCCCCTTTCCCCCCCGTAACACTGACAAGTTAAGAACATAAGAGATGCCAATGTTGGATCAGGCCAAAGGCCCATCCAGTCCAACACTCTATATCACACAGTGGCCAGAAATACCAGATGCCATCAGGAGGTCCAGCAGTGGGGCCAGGACATTAGAAGCCCTCCCACTGTTGACCCCCCCAAGCACCAAGATGGCAGAGCATCACTTGCCCCAGAGTCCCTATCTATACCTTGTGGCTAATAGCCACTGATGGACCTGTGCTCCATATGCTTATCTAATTCCCTTTTGAAGCCGTCCATGCTTGTAGCCGCCACCACTTCCTGTGGCAGTGAATTCCAAGTGTTAATCACTCTTTGGGTGAAGAAGTACTTCTTTTTATCCGTTCTAACCCGACCGCTCAGCAATTTCATGGAGTGCCCACGAGTCCTTGTATTGTGAGAAAGGAAGAAAAGTACCTCTTTCTCTACCTGCTCTTTCCCATGCATAATCTTATAAACCTCGATCATGTCACCCCTCAGTTGTCCTTTCTCCAAGCTAAAGAGCCCCAAGCGCCTTAACCTTTCCTCATAGGGAAAGTGTTACACTTGAAAGACCCAAGTCTGTAATTCACACCAAGCCTTGACTCCTGCCCCACAAGTTTTCCCCATAAGAATTTCCAGTACGATTTTTCCTTTCTCATACACGTACATGAACACACATGAAGGCTGCCTTCTACTGAATCAGACCCCTAGTCCATCACATTCAGATCGTCTAAGACTGGCAGCAGCTCTCCAGGTTCTCGGAAAGAGGCCTTTAACATCTCCTACACCCGGTACTTTCAACTGGAGATGCTGGAGATTGAATCTGGAACCCTCAGCCTGTAAAGCAGAGGCTCCACCACTGAGCCACGGCCCCCAGTACACCGATGAGAAGAAGCGAGCGGTGACTCGCGAACGCTCTCCGTGAAATAAATGTGGTCAAGTCTTTAAGGTGCTACACGGCTTCTGGGTGTTTTTAATTGTATCAAAACTGCCATCCGTATCCCCCAAAGACAAAAGAGGTCCCTTATAACAAAAGAGAGCGGATCTCGCATTTGGTACCCAAAGCGCGTGTGCCTGGTTGGGGGGGGGGCAGGGGGGGTCCTGCCTGATGCAACGGGATAAAGCTGAGAGGGTTCAGCCACCATGGCCACTTTGGACGAATGACCCAGCCCGTCAGGGAAACAAAAGCTGCTGCCTGGAAATAGCTGGTAAACTTTGACCGTTTGGCACTTTAGGGGCCTTTAGAAGGCTGCTGTTCGAGGGATTTTTCAAGTCTTGGGAGGGCTCTAGAGGCCAGTTGCGAGAGACACAGACACAGAGAGAGAGAGACAGAGAGAGAGAGACAGAGAGAGAGAGAGAGAGAGAGAGAGAGAGAGAGAGAGAGAGAAAGAAAGAGAGAGAGAGAGAGAGAGAGAGAGAGAGAGAGGAGGTACAGAATGCAAAGGGTGCATCCCCTCGAAAGAAGCTGCATAGATGCTTGTCTATCTGGACCCGCAACCAAGGGACACCTGAGCCCCCCGGGCAGAGGGAGTGCTGCAGCTCATGGGCCCAAAGCAGTTCTCCAAATAGCCAAAGCAGGAAACGAAAGCATTGGGAAGATCTACAAACCCTTCTGATGCCCAGGAATTAAAACAGGACAAGTCAGATCTCCCTTCAAGTAGCAAACAGACTGGGACCCTGCATCGTCAGGCACCTATCTTGGGGGTGAGGGGGCACGGGAGGTGCGGTCACCACAGTCCCCCAGTCATTGCATCAGACGGTGATTACCCCCCCACACACTTTCTTTGGGTCTCCAGGAAGTACCTGCACACAGAGCCAGAAGAGGTCTTCGAGTGTGTGTGCGTGTGTGGGGGGTACGGTCAAATCCCATGGGGGGGGCTGTGGCCCAGGCTGACCGCTGGGCTTCCTGGAAGACGTTTTCAGGTACAAAAGTGATGCTTGAAGCTATTTGATTTTTGCCAGGGCAGCCGCCCTCCGCTCTGTGTTCTGGAACAGGGCTCGGATTAGATTCTTCACCTCGCTCGGGGAGAATTCAGCAGCCAGGGGTCCTTTGCTGTCTGCCCACCTAGGAAGCAATCATATACCAACAAAGGGAACAGCAATGAAATGACACCGATTGCTGCAAAGTGCATACAATTAAGAATAATAGACAATAATTAAACAATAGTACTGATGAGCTTCATGATGTTTTAATCTTTTGTTTTTCAACAATAGGGCGCCACCAAACAGAAGATGATGACGTCAAGATGAATGGACGAACCTCCCGAGTTACTGTTCATTTCGAAGTCTCTTTATCAAACAGGTCTCAGTTCAGCGTTCTTGTGCAATAAAGTCAACCACAAGGGTGTTCTTAAATTCAGATAACTTCTTCCACAGCTCTTTGCTAACAGTTACACCTTTCAATCGGACAACAGGTCTGTTAGCAAAGAGCTGTTGGAAGAAGGTATCTGAATTTACGAACACCCTTGTGGTTGACTTTATTGCACAAGAACGCTGAACTGAGACCTGTTTGATAAAGAAACTTCGAAACGAACAGTAACTCAGGAGGTTCGTCCGTTCATCTTGATGTCATCATCTTCTTTTGGTGGTGCCCTATTGTTGAAAAACAAAGATTAAAACATCATGAAGCTCATCAGTACTATTGTTTAATTATTAATTATTGTCTATTATTCTTAATTGTATGCACTTTGCAGCAATCCACTTAACCACTACACCAAACTGGCTCTTTTAAGCTGTTGGCATTAAAGTTGAGAGCGAGCCATTTGGCTATTGCAAAAATTAGTTTGCTCCAGAGCCATCCTTCCTGAGCTGGAGGCTAAAAAACTGTGAGCTAGCTCACACTAACTCAGCTCAGAGGGAACACTGGCTTGGACCATTTCTACAAGGCCTCAGTCCTTAACCCACAACACCCCCCTGTCCCCGTCCTCCCAGTTCTTGCTTTCTTTCTAAAACCCTTCTATACAGGGCAGATGCACACAGAAGGAACAAATCAAGTTCTTTCAAAATCTGTTTCTGAAAGGAGAAGTAGCAGAAATGCCAATCGGGGGCGGTTTGCTCGATTCGGCTTCATACTGAATCAGAACACTGGCCAGTGTTCCCTCTAAGCTGAGTTACTGTGAGCTAGGTCACACTATTTTAGCCTCCGGCTCACACATTTTTGTCTCAGCTCAGGAAGGAGGGCTCCAGAGCAAACCAATTTATGCAGCAGCCAAATCGCTCGCTCACAACTTTAATGCCGGTAGCTCACAAAGGAGAAGGTTATTGTATGCACTTTGTGCCTTGTTGTAAGCCACCCTGAGCCCGCTTGCAGGGAGGGCGGGGTATAAATAGAATGAAATAAAATAAATAAAACAGAATTCTTGCTCACAAGACCCCACAGCTTAGCGGGAGCATTGCCACTGGCTCATTCAAAAGTAATATTTTCTCAAAGGGATGCTACCATTTCGGACGTGCACCCCGCCGTGGCAATCATCCCACAAAGTCCCGCCTCTCCTCCAGGGCTCTGAACCAATCCAAGGGGACTGTCAGCCAATGAGAGCCTGTGGGACCTCACTGGATGGGAGGGGCTGAGCAAGCCTCAGCTTAAGAGGGGAGGGGGGAGAGTCCGGAGCTCCAGAAAGGGGGGAGAAAGGTCTTGCTAATTTCTTGTCCGGGTTGCCCTCGTGTATTTCCTCTGTTCCCGTTCAGCCACCCTGAAGGGCTAGCCAGGGTCTACGCCGCACTCACCGGTCCATGATCTCTTGGAGACTGGCCTGCAACACCAACATGAGCTCCTTGAACATCATCCATTTCGGTACGTAGAGCGGGACTTCTTCTTGGAAGCGCCTGTTCTGCTCTTCCTCGGGCAGAGGCACAAACACCTGGGGCCCTTCCGCCACCATCATCTGGCAAAGCGCGTACAGCCTGTCCGCATTCTCGGCGGAGATATCCTGCAAGGTGACGCAGAATGAGCAAGTGGGACGGGAGGCCCGGGGGGACAGATACCCGGGCAGTTCGCTGGGATGAGCCTCCCACATTCATGGGCGATCGGGCCCATCCGTGGCTGCCCGCCCAGGTGGCTAGATGGAGCCGGAGGATGGTTACGAGTGCCGCCAGGCAGCATCACGGGGAGGCCCTGGCCCCTGTGCCTGGTGGAGGCTGGCCAGCATGTGGGACGGGATGCGGGACTAGACGGACCACCGGTCTGGTCCAGCAGGGCTCTTCGTATGGAGACCCAGCTTGGTGTCGTGGTGAAGTGCGCGGACTCTCATCTGGGAGAGCCGGGTTTGATTCCCCACGCCTCCCCTTGCACCTGGCTGGATGACCTTGGGCAAGCCACAGTTCTGACAAGAGCTGTTCTTGAAAAAGAGTCGTTTCTGTCAGAGCTCTCCCAGCCCCACCCACCTCACAGGGTGTCTGTTGTGGGGAGGGGAAGGGAAAGGAGTTTGTAAGCCTCTCTGAGACTCCAAGTGAAGGGCGGGGTATAAATCCAATCTCTTCTTCTTCTTCTTCTCTAATCTGGGAGAACCGGGTTTGATTCCCCACTCCTCCACTTGCACCTGCTGGATGACCTTGGGCAAGCCATAAGTTTTGTCAGAGCTGTCCTTGAAAAAGAGCAGTTTGTGTCAGAGCTCTCTCAGCCCCACCCACCTCATAGGGTGTCTGTTGTGGGGAGGGGAAGGGAAAAAGAGATTGTAAGCCGCTCTGAGACTCCGAGCGAAGGGCAGGGTATAAATCTAATCTCTTCTTCTTCTTACGTCACGCCCTGTCTGTTGGACCTCCAGAACCGCTGCTCTGATCCAGTAGGACCCGTCTGGTGCTCTTAGGCTCCCCTCCCGATCCACTTTCCAGAAACCCAAATGGCTTTCCTCACCAAACTGTCAACAGACCAGGATCAAACCGTCCCACGTCACCTCCCTTAAGCCGTTTCCTCCAGCGAGGCTGAAAGCGGAGCCGCAGCCACATCTCACCACTGACGGCGTTCCCTCTAAGCTGAGTGAGTGTGAGCCGGCTCACAGTCTTTTAGCCTCCGGCTCACACATTTTCCTCTCCGCTCAGGAAGGAGGGCTCCAGAGCAAGCTGATTCATGCAGCAGCCAAATGGCTCGCTCACAGCTTTAATGCCGGTAGCTCGCAAAGTAGAATTTTTGCTCACAAGACTCCACAGCTTAGAGGGAGCATTGCTTCACCAAGTGCCTGAACAATATTTCCGCACCATCTTTCCATATCCTTCACCCTTACCACCAGAACGCCTTATCTGAGGAGATGTTACACCCCCGGGAGCCTGCTGGCTTCCCTTGCAGTCAAAGTGTCCGTGTGTCCGGACCAAAGGAGGCCTCCTGTCTCCCCCAGAAAGCCACACAAACTCCTGGTTCAGGTTTAACCCTTTTTCTTTTTTGTAAAGCGGCCCATGGCCCCATGCAAATCAAACTCACAAGCAGGCACTTCAACGACAAGGATGCAAACTCGGTTTTGTGCAAAACCACACTTTGGTCCAGCCTGTGCTTAGGTCACTGCACTGGCTGCAAATAGCATACCGAATTCGCTTCAAGGTGCTGGTACTTACCATTAAAGCCCTATATGGCCAGGGTCCGGCATACCTGAGGGACCGCCTTTCCCCAAATCTACCACAGAGAGCACTACGGTCGGGGTCGCAACGTTGATTAATCATTCCGGGCCCCAAAGATGCCAGGCTCACCACCACCAGGGCCTTTTCTGTGGCGGCTCCTTACTGGTGGAATGAGCTCCCGGAAGAGATCAGGGCCCTGCGGGACCTCTTGCAGTTCCATAGGGCCTGTAAGACGGAGCTTTTCTGCCAGGCCTTCGATTAGGAGCCGCCACCATGACCACCAACTATGCTACATGAACATCTGTAGCACTGAGCTGGCCCTTAACAGACCGGAAGACCGCTGAATTGAGAACTCGGATGGTATATCTTAGAGCACGCCACCTGATTTTAAGGAACTGTTAATACTGCGAGCACTTTAAACGTAAGAATGTTTTAAGCGGTTTTAAAATGTCTTAAAGTTTTACGTTGTCTAGGTACATTGTACTGACCTCTGCAAGCCGCCCTGAGGCTCATCCCAGCGAATAAATAAATTGGTCGGCTCCAACACAAGGACCCCTGGTCTTACACTTGGTGTAGTGGGTTAAGTGCGCGGACTCTAATCTGGGAGAACCGGGTTTGATTCCCCACTCCTCCACTTGCACCTGTTGGATTACCTTGGGCAAGCCACAGTTCTGATAAGAGCTGTTCTTGAAAAAAGAGCAGTTTCTGTCAAGAGCTCTCTCAGCCCCACCTGCCTCACAGGGTGTCTGTTGTAGGGAGGGGAAGGGAAAGGAGTCTGTAAGCCGCTCTAAGACACCTTTGGGTAATGAAAGGCGGGGGATAAATCCAATCTCCTCCTCCTCCTCCTCCTCCTCC